AAGCCTTGAGTTGCAGTACTGAAGGATTCTATGGTAAAATGATGTGTTGCCATAAGGCTGGAGGCTATGCCACCGGTATTTCAAACACCAGCAGGGTCACCATGGTGGATAGGTTTCAGCAGAATATCCAGACTAAGACAGACTGGGAAGAAGGATGAGGCCATCCACTTCTGAAAAAACCAGGCACTGAAAACCCCATGAAAAGCAGTGAAACGCCATCTGATATATTACTGGAAAATTTTGTGAAGAGCCATGAAATATTATCTGATATAGTGCCAGAAGATGAGCCCATCAGGTCAGAAGACACTCCAAATATGACTAGGGAAAAGCAGCATCCTCAAAGTACAGTCCATCTTAATGATGTGGATGAAGTAAAGTTTTGGGGACTTTCATTTGCTGATGGGGCAAGGCTCAAAATGGGAAGAAAGAACTGCAAGCATTCATTAATAATTTGAATGTGGAATGTACGAAGTATGAATCTAGGAAAACTGGGAGTTGTCAAAAAATGAAATGGAATGCATAAAGATCAATATCCTAGGCACTAGGTAGCTGAAATGGACAGGTATTGGCCATTTTGAATCAGACAGCCATATCATCTACTATGCCAGAAATGACAAATTGAAGAGGATTGGTGTCACATTCACCATCAAAAAGAACATTTCAAGGTTCTGTCCTGAAGTACAATTTTGTCAATGATAGGATAGTATCCATACACCTATAAGGAAGACTGGTTGGGCAATCTACTTCCGTAGTGATACTGCCTCAGAAACCCAAAGAGGGGTCGCTATGAGTTAGATCTGACTCAACAGCAGTGGGTTGGGTGGGATAAGAAAGACCTGGTAATACGGCTACTATTCAAATTTACGCACCAACCACCAAAGCAAAAGATGAAGAAATTGAATGTTTTTTACCAACTTCTCCAGGCTGAAATTGATCAAACATGCAAACAAGATGTATTGATTAATGCTGGTGATTGGAATACTAAAGTTGGAAACAAAGAAGTATCAAAAAAAAAAAAAAAAAAAAAAAAAACCCTCACTGCCAT